ATCGAAGCGCCTTTTGAAGCTACATGCATTAGAAGTATTGCCTTTACACTGAGTCCACGCAGTTAAGCGGTTTACCTATAAAAGTAGAATAGACATGGGCTTATATTCAAATTAGCACCCCCCCCCCCCATTATATAATAAGTAAATCAAATTATCCTCCCCCTACAACTCCCCCGGGCCATGGCCCCTTTCGCCCCAAGATAAATAGGTACGTACATAATGAGTACTACGCCCTCGAGTATAGACGCAATTACTTTTAAAAGGCCTAGCAATTCAGTTTTTGTTGTTCATTAAATTAAACTTCAGCTACTTGATAATGACCAAACAACTTATGTTTGTTTTTTTTTTCATAATGGTCTCAACACCAAATCCAACTAATAGTATTCAGAAACAGTTTATCGTAGTATTTTAATCACAATTACTTTAACTCACACGTTAGTCTCGATCGTCACAATCATAATGTGCGTTTAATCAAACAGTGTAAAATATTTATATATACAATTCATTTCAATAAAATAGTTTCTTTTTACATCTTTTCAGTTTATGTTCATTGGTATTATAAATAATACGAACCTCTTTTATCAAAATGTTTGCAATGACCAAAAAAAATCGCTCCAAAAAATTCAAAATGGTTATAAATAAAGCTATGGCCTTCTTCTATATAATGTTCCAAGTCTTATTTGCTTTAAATCTCGGTTACTTCTCAAAATCTTCGCCAAAATCTGCATTATTGACAAAATCTCTTTTACTAATACAAGTGTTAGGCTTGATTATACATAATTCGTATTTAATTTATCTTGGTTCTTGGTCCATGGTCGGTATAGCGTCGCAAACGTGTATCAATGTCACTATCCTTACGTTGTTCAGTGATCGCAGTAGTTTCTATAAAATGCTTAAAGATTTTAATCACATAGATTCGAAATTGAGAACAAAAGCAGGATATTACTGCAAACTTAAATTAATTGCTGGTACAGTAGTAATACTTTCAACAAGGATTTCAGTTTCTATGACACTATGTATCGAAAAGTACAAATATGTTTGCGGTCCTATCTTCCTCATTGGGTTGTGGCATTTCCTTATTTATGACAGTATTTTGGTTTTCTATTCTTCTATCTTTTATTTTGCGCAAAGGCGCTTAAAATTATTAAATAGTATTGTTCAAAACAGTACTCGTAATGTTTCTGATTGCTTTACTACATATAAATCTATTGCTGATAACGTTGATAGTATCAAGACAGTATTCGACTATTTGGTTAGTGTCATCTCTTTAAATTACTCTAAACGTTATGAAGCATTAAACAACGTAATCATGTTTTAACTTTCAGTATATTATATACTTTGTAAGCAAATTACCGGAATTACTATGGTTAACTAATTTGCGCTTGGTGGAAGTGAAAATGTACAAAAAACTGGTAATATATTTGTTTTATTGTATTTTGGTAAAGTTCGGATAGTTTTGTCTTTTTAAATCATCAATAGTCAATAGCATAGATGTATGTAAGAGCATAGATGTATATAACAGCATAGACAGTGCCGTCTTTGACCTATTGGAGACCCTAGGTATATGAGGATCGGGGTGAAAGACTTGCCCCAGCAGAGCTGAGGCAGGTCCGTTCCATCGCCGAGAGCGAAGCTCTGCAGCGATGGGATGAGGCACTCGCCCATGTTAGCGCCGGCCACCGGACGATAGAAGCCATTCGTCCGGTGTTGGAGGAATGGTTGGGTCGCCGGCGCGGCGGCCTCACGTTCCGCATGGTGCAGGTCTTGACCGGGCATGGATGCTTCGGTCACTATCTGCACCGTGTCGCACGTCGGGAGGAGACGCCGCAATGTCATCATTGCGGCGCCCCGGACGACACGGCCGAGCACACCTTATTGGAGTGCCCGGCCTGGCGACACCAGCGCCGCGACCTCGTTGCGGCGCTGGGATGCGGAGCCCTCTCGCTGCGGAGCATGGTGGAGGCCATGCTCCGCAGCGACAGGGCGTGGGAGGCAGCCACCTCCTTCTGCGAGAACGTCATCTCGCAGAAGGAGGCGGCTGAGAGGGAGCGGGAGGATGATCCTCTGGCCGCTTCCTCCCGCCAAAGGAGGACGGGTAGGAGAGGACGGCGGCGCGCCCTGGCTGCGCCCGTCCCATGACCCTACCCGAGGGGTCCCTCGCTGACCGGCATGGCGATGGCCGTGCCGGCCACCGACGGACCCCGTGACGGCAGCCCCCCCTTGTAGTTCTGTCCTGCAAAGAGGGGGGCGGCGGAGGGAGCTACACGGGCACGCCCAAGTAGCCCTCCGCAGCGGACGGGGGGGCGGTACGGTGGGCACTAGGCCGCGTACTCAGCCCCCGCGCGCGGGCCTACCCGCGCACGTCTGCGGGGTCCCCGCGATACCCCGGGAGACCCCTGCCGTGGAGCCCCGGCTTGGCCGGGAGGCTGCTAGGTGCGGAGACGCGGAGAATCCCTAAACGGGGATCCCGCGGCTTCGCGCTAAGCAGCTTAGAGGGTATTCGCAGGACTTTTTTAGCGGATATTATACCGTAAAGCGCCCGTAAGAGTTGCGGGGTCCTCGGTGGGCAGCCACTGGGGGGTTCGTAAGACTTGCGGGAGCCAGGTGTGAGGTCCGTTCGGCGGTGTGCCTCTTAAAGGCGCCGTCGTCTGTAAATAGATTTTTTACCTGCGTATTAAAAAAAAAAAAAAAAAGGTATATGAGGATAATGGGGCCCCTATGACCCCCGTTTGGTGATCTAACAAGAACTAGGGACTTTGTATTTGTGATCTGAGGTGCCCACCTGTCGATCACGGGGCCCTGGGCACTTGCCCAAAGTGCCCACTGGGAAAGACGGGTCTGAGCATAGATGTATGTAACAGCATTTCTCTCTTTGACAGATAGCCACACATCAAGTTACCATATACTGTCTGTCTGATTGTGAATCTAAAATCAAAGTTAGATAAGGCCTCCTCCCTCATGCGTTATTGTTGTCGGATCTTCTATGATATCATAAAGACCTGCCTTGTTTAATGAAAAATATTAATTTTGGCGTAATTCTCTTCGATAATATTAAAATGTATGTCAGGTCAAGCTAACCATATCTTTTTGTTTCAGTCGTACCGATGGCTAATGAAATTGTTAAACAGCATTTTAAATTTTATTTTATTGTGTTTGCCTTCAATTTCCGCTGCTTTCCTAGCATCACAAACTCAAAAGTTGAAACTAAATTTGCATGAATGGTTGTTGATGGAAAGAGGTAATTTGGTATTCTTTCTGATTCCATCAAAGTATTTTTTTCATTTGATCTCATGTTTCTGAGAATCGTACATAAATAAATGTTTTAGCACTCACACCAATAAGCATAGTCCCAAAGTAATCACTTGTCACAAATGCTTTGTTTTAGTGGATACTGGGGGAACGAATAGAAATATACAATACATAGGTATTCGTAGATATATTTTTGTAGAAATAAAATATATAAACAGCCATGATTTAATAATCAGATTAACTGGTATCTTTACTTTATGACATTGATCATTACCTTAATATTAATTTTCAGTTACGTAAACCTCTATTTATTAAGTGCTTATGTTCGTTTATTTTACAGGTAGTAAGTATGAAGACAGTTTAAAGAACTTTGAAGAATATGTATCGAAGCGCCCCTTGAAGCTACATGTATTAGAAGTGGTGCCTTTGGACTGGTCACTGCCGATCATACTAGTCAATTTTATCGTCACGTACCAGATCACTATTGTGCAGTTCATGCATTTATATTAAAAATACTTACTTTGGTTGCATGTCATTTTATTTTGATTGATATATTAAGCTGCTTTGTGAAGAAATTTATAGGTAAACCGCTTAACTGAGTCCTCGCCTACGGGGTACAGGGTGCGAGGGAGGACGAAAACGGGGACTGAGAGATGCGGGCGGCGGGCTCTTGTAATTTTGATAAGAATGTGCCTGCCGACCGCATCTCTCACATTGGCAGTGAAAAAATCTCCTTTGGAGAAAGTGCGTGTTCCTATTGATAACAGGCCTCAAGGTTTGAATGCATTTAAGTCGATGGAGACTATTTTGAATGAAATTCATACATCTTAATGTTACTATATTAATGTGTGAACTAACACACATTACAATAATAAATAACTTATACAATAGAAAAAATAAAATATTTTATTCCTTGTAATATAAATATATTTATGGCGAGAAGTTGGTATATTATTTTCCAAAAGTTAATGCAGGTGAATATAATTGTCAATTACTTTGAAAAGCCCTAGCAATTCAGTTTTTGTTTTAGATAAATATTTACTTCAGCTACTTGATAAATGATCAAGCCAATAAAGTTTGTATTTTGACATAATGGTCTCAATACCAAATCAAACTAATGGTGTTCAGGAACAGTTTATCGTAGAATTTTAATCACAATTACTTTAACTCACACGTTATTTCACTCGATCGTCTCAATCATACTGTGCGTTCAATCAAACAGTGTAAAATCTTTAATAATTGTATAATTAATTGCAATAAAGTAGTTTCTCTTTGCATCTTTGTGCACTAGTTCATTGGCATTAAAAATTATACGAACATCTTTTATCATAATTTTTACAATGACCAAAAAAATTCGCTCCAAGAAATTCAAAACGGCTATAAATAAAGCTATGGCCTTCTTTTATATAACGTTCCAAGTCTTATTCGCTTTAAATCTCGGTTACTTCTCTAAAACTTCGCGAAAATCTGCATTATTGACAAAATCTCTTTCACTAATACAAGTGTTATGTTTGGTTATACATGATGCGTATTTCATTTACCTTGGTTCTTGGTCCATGATCGTAATAGTGACGCAAACGTGTGTTAATGTCACCATCCTTACGTTGTGCAGTGATCGCAATAGTTTCTATAAAATGCTTATAGATTTTAATTACATAGATTCGACGTTAAGAACAAAAGCAGGATATTACTGCAAACTTAAATTTATTGCTGCTATTGTAGTAATACTTTCAGCAAGGATTTCATTTTTTATGGCAATATGTGTCGAAAAGTACACATATGTTTGCGATCTTATCTACCTCATTGGGTTGTGGCATTTCCTTATTTTTGACAGTATTTTGGTTTTCTATTCTTCTATCTTTTATTTTGCGCAAAGGCGCTTAAAAATATTAAATCGTATTGTTAAAAACAGTGCTCGTAATGTTTCTGATTGCTTTACTACATATAAATCTATTGCTGATACCGTTGATAGTATCAAGACAGTATTCGACTATTTGGTTAGTGTCACCTGTTTTAATTACTCTTAACTTTATGAAGCATTAAACGTAAATAATCGTTTTTTAACTTTCAGTATATGATATACTTTGTAACCAAATTACCGGAATTACTATGGTTAACTAATTTGCGCTTGGTGGAAGTGAAAATATGCAAAAAACTGGTAATATATTTGTTTTATTGTATTTTGGTAAAGCTCGGATAGTGTTGTCTATTTCAATCATTAATAGTCAATAGCGTAGATGTATGTAACAGCATTTCTCTCTTTTACAGACAGCCACATATCAAGTTACCAAATACTGTCAAATTTTCTCAATAGAGTGAGTCTAAAATCAAAGTTAGATAAGGCCTGCCCCATAGGTGCGTTATGATCGGTTTATAATATCGGATGCCTTATTGCAATATCTGTTTTTAGTACATTATGTATTACGACGGCTACGAAGTTACGCACTGCGATAATAACAGCGCAATATAAGTAGAACTAGCGCAATAACGCATCCGATATTATCGACCGATAATAACGCGTCTTAGGGCGGGGGAAGGCTTATTCAATTCAATTCAAAATATCTTTAGTCAAAGAGGAAACATAATACAACTCTTTTGAATCGTCCATTTTTTTCCTACCACCCGTTATGGACATTTTTTAGCTTTGCAGACGGTACCCGTCAGCAACGGGTACCAAACGGGTAAAAAAAACTTCACAGCGCTAAATCTTGTGACAATATTTACAAAATATTATATTGTTACAGTGTCAATACAAAATTAGGGCATCTTTATCATAATTATAGAAACAGCCTGTCGGAACGTTTTGAACAGTTTAAACCTAAGCATGTTTGTCTGAAATATAGACACCTTATACACCTTAAAGCTCGAAGTCAGTTGAAAAAACAATTCTGCTTTAAATAACTTCATCAAAGGTCGTTTGTTTGTGCATAGGCCTTCCTTAAGGCACGCTACTCTAATCTCCAGGCTTTGCACCATTTTCCAACCATTGACCATTGACTTCCTGAAACATACGTCCTGGAGTTTGATGTCGAACTGAGATTGATTTGTCACTCAGAAAGATAATCATTCTGATAATAAATGTGGCATTATTGATTCATTTACTAGTACGCAACAGTTACAGTATTGATGTTTACTGTAAAACGCTAACCATCTTTATTTTTCAGACATATATCTGGTTCGCAAACATCATAAACAGCTACCTTAATTTCATAGTTATGTGTGCTCCTGCGATCACCGCTGGTGTACTAACATCTGAAGCAAAAAATCTGAAAATAAAATTACAGGAAAGGATGATGATGCAAAAAGGTAATACCATTCTTAATTTTACATGAACTAAGTTTATAAAATTTCAATTTTAAATGTTTTCACCACGCTTTTAAGCCTCTAGCTAGCGTATGAGTATTTTTGAAAGTGATTATAATATTGTCATTTTAAGATTTGCCGAATTTTAATAGGTACCAAAGAACAAATATATTGAAAGTACAATCTCGCTATTTTAGACCCTTATTAATAAACAAGGAATAAGTTTTGACTAGTTACGCTGTGTTTTGTTCATGTCACTCAAATTCCATTTATCATTGAATGGACAGAGAGAGACAAAACATGGAATAACAAATCCAAGCTTATTCTTTTTATATAAATAAGGGAGTTAGAGTTATCGGTTTCTCAATATTATTTACCTACATAATATACACATAGTACCTACATATATTTATAACACACATACGAAAGACAAAAAAACACAAGGTTCGCTTGATGGTAAGACCGTGACTTAAGGACGCTTGCTACCTCAGAACACTTAGCATGAACTAATATTGAATTCGAATAGTTAAATTCTACCCTGATACTTCTTGAAATTTGACGCGTTACGAGGTCGAATTCGATACTATCGCGTAGTGTATATTTTCTGTGATATTGTTTCGTGCTAAGGGTATAGGAGTGTTAGACGCGGTGAAGTGCTACAAAGGGGATCTCGCGCACTTAGATTAAAACAAAAAAGGGTAGCTACGGTACGCTCATATTTGCATCAAACAAAAACTGATCCCACGGCAGCAAGAACGGGACGGCGAGATCCGCGTCACTGCACTACCGACCAATCACGCGTCCAGTACTCGACGTCACTACCGAATAAGATTCAAAACAAACAGCAATTTTAATAAAAAAATATATTATATAGTACTTACGAATGAAAAGTGATGCCGTGGGTTTTATTTTCAGTTCTTGAGCAATTTGAGCACTTTTTAAAAACATACTTAGGTATTGCTGTATCATATAAACACAAAATATTATCAATATTTCTTTTCGGCGTTCACATGTACGTCGTTTGCATGTAAAATTGTGACTAAAGCGATTAGGGTCGTGGACCACAATTAGTGCGGATCACTTTTGTGAGGCTAGTGCCGTGTCTACTCTTTTTGTTTTAATCTTAGGTTCCGCACCTAACAGCGTACAGGGTATTCGCAGGGTTTTTTAGCGGATAGTATGCCGTAAGCGCTCGTAAGCCGCGCGGACTGCCGTGAGACTTGCGAAAGGTAGCATAAGCAGATGCTAGGCTGTGAGGTCCGTTCGTTGGTGTGCCCCTTAAGGGCGCCAACGTCTGTAAATAGAGGTTTTGCCTGCGTAAAAAAAACGACGGGTTGCGCTCCGGGAGTGCCGGCAGAAGTGAAAACTTGAATATTAACGTTGTGCATTTTTGATATTTTGGAATGGTTACGGAATAATTTTGCACGAATTGCTTTAATTATCAGTATACAAGTACATTCATGTACATGGTAGAATAAAATATTTATTTATTGTGCTATCGTACACAAACATGACAATTTATATTATATTAAAAAAGTTTATCTCTCAGAAAAATCAACGTATATGAATCACGTTTAAGCGCACTTAGCGACATCTATTGTAAAAAATGCATTTTCTTCGCAATAAAGCTGCCACGTGGACGTCCTAGATAGAGACTTATTATAATAGGGTAAAATAAAATATTACTATGTTTCCTCCAATATATTAAAAGTCAACCACCTTTCCAATTTTATTGTATGTCATGATGCAATCAGCCCACGTGTTTAACCTGACGCGAGTTTAACATTTTTTACCCATACAAAAAAAAGTGTACTACGCCACTAAAGTTTTCACTTCAAAAAAAGGTACAGTGAGGGTATTCTGTAAAATTATCACGCGCGGATCCGATGCGGGTCCGCTCAATTCCCATATAGATTTTCGCGGAACCGCATCGGATACACGCGTGAAATTTTTACAGAATAGCCCCGCAGGAGTGTCACACACGCGTTGCTGACAAATTGAAAACTTCTTTATACCTCTTTTGAATGCTTTGTTTATAGGTAAACACAAAGAGAGCTTAAGGCAGCTCGAAGAGTATGTTTGTTCGCGCCCCTTAAAACAGTATGCATTACAAGTGGTACCGTTGAATTGGTCACTGATACTCATACTTATCAACTTTATCGTCACGTACCAGATCACGATTGTGCAATTCATGCATCTATTTTGAAAAGAAAAAGAAATGGGAAGCAAATTAACTGTTTCATTTCATTTTCCTCATCCAGCTGGAGACTTTCATGAGAGGACAAGCTCCAGCCATCCTCACCTTGCTGGCCTGAACCCAATCCCCAATCCCCTACCCCGCGGAGCCCTGGAACTCTACTAACCAACAGACACACCACCATATGGTGGTGTAGTCAGACCCGTCTTTCCGATTGGGCACTTTGGGCAGGTGCCCAGGGCCCCGCGATCGGGGCCTCCTCAGATCAAATACAAAGTCCCTAGTTCCTGTTTAATCACCAAACGGAAGTCATAGGGGCCCCATTATCCTAATATGCCCAGGGCCTCCAATAGGTCAAAGACGGCACTGAGTGTAGTAGTACTCCTACACTCAATAAACGAATTTAATGATTTTTGAAAGTGAAACTTCTTTAGGCACGCTTGAGTTGGGGGGTAAAATGGCGAATGTGTTACGATTTTTACGTTACGCGCGTACCGGTGACTCGTCGATAAAAAATGATCAATACCCGTCACAAAATACATAAATCTAGTGCTCGGTTGGAGATAACGGACCCGGCGCGGATTGGTGGGTGTTAACGGACCCAGCGCGGATTGGTGGGTGTTAACGGACCCAGTGCGGATTGGTGGATGACAACGGACCCAGTGCGGATTGGTGGGTGATAAAAGACCCAGTGCGGATTGGAGGGTGATAACGTACCCAGCGCGGATTGGTGGGTGATAACGGACCCATTGCGGATTGGTGGATGATAACGGACCCAGCGTGGATTGGTGGATGTTAGCGGAGCCAGTGCGGATTGGTGGATGATAACGAACCCAGCGCGGATTGGTGAGTTGTAACGGACCCAGTCGGATTGGTGGGTGATAACGGACCCAACCCGGCTTGCTGGGTTGTAACGGACCAAGTTGGATTGGTGGATGAGAACGGACCCAGCGCGGATTGGTGGTTTTTTTTCTATCAACAAATCTTCAGGTTAAGTTTATGATTTTCAGATCATTGGAGCTGAAGAAGTTTCACTTCAGTCGTGTGGTCATAAGCACACTCGCTTTTTTGTATTAAAATAAAATAGAATTTAGACAAGCCATTGTCAAATACATTTATCTACTTGGCTACATTTAATAAATTAAATTTCTACGTTGATAAAGTTAGGGGTTAAAAGTTTGTTCTGGGATCACCTATTCTATGAAACCGGAGTCGAAGGTATCAGTATAAAATTATACAGAATGATTAAAGCAGAATTATCGAAAAAAATATTTAAAAAACATATAAGAAAATATTCAACTTGTCCCACGTATGGCTGAAGAAGGCTGTGCCACTGTTTCACATTGTGGGTACTACAAGATTTTAAACTAACTTAAACTCATGAAACATACATTATAAAGAAGAAATAACCAGTCACATCGGTCAGTCTCCTATACAATTCCTTAAAAAAGGACGAGCGCTTGAACCCCATGGGCCCATAGCCTCAACACCAAACAGCGCAAATATGTAGTTCTCATTGATAGCTCAATATTTTTCTTGAATCTTCTCGTTTCTTGAATCGGTTCAGGAATTTTCTCCCCATCAAAAAAAATTTGCTTCTCTTAAATTTCCGCTCATTGATTATGCTGATGTCTGTTACCCTGAATGCTGATCTTTTAAATAAATTGGATCGTCTTATCAACAATGACATCCGCTTCATCTTCTGTCTTCGTAAATTTGACCACATATCTGCTTACAGGTCTCAACTTAAATGGCTCCCTACACGTCAAAGAAGTCAGCAGAGAATGTTATGTACTCTGTATACAATTCTCTTTAACCCACACTCTCCAGACTATTAAAGATCCAAATTTTAGTATCTTTGTGACACACATAACCTTCAACTTCGTTCTAGTGACACTCTTGCTCTATCCCAACCTCTCGTTCACTCTGGCTATATGTCTAATTCCTTTGCCCTTCAATCTTCACGACTCTGGAACCTCCCTGACTCCATTAGAAAGTCACCTAATAGGTTTTATTTTTAAAAACAAAATTCATGCACTTCTTCTGGATAGCCTTCCACACTAACGTTAAACTCCTTTCATAAGTCCCTTTCAGTCTCAACATCGATAGATTTTATATATATGTATATGTGTACTATATATACACACACACATAAAATAATATATATATATATATTATTGTATGTGTGTGTATATATAGTACACATATACATATATATGTGTGTATATATTTCTACGTCTTGTGCTCTTTACTAAAGCCGCATTCGTGTCTTTCTGTACTCCTAAAGGTTGACTGGCTGAGAAAGCTTTTAGCGTTGAGTCCGCCTTTTGTCCATTTTGTAATTGTGGCAATAAAGTTTAAATAAAATATTTGCGTTGCCTTGGAGCACTCAGCAGCATGTAACTGTATGGCACGTGTAAGCGTATCCGCGCAAGTTGCGTTCCATACAAGAAGACGACACTGCTTCCAAGGAATGAGCGTTATCCCGTCAGGTTTCTTCTCTCGGAAAATGCCGCAAGGCTCTAAGACCGGTATCACATTGACTGTCAACAAGAGCTCTAAGCGGATAGGGTTACCATCCGTCTGGATTACTCCCGACATCTCCGGACTTTTAGACTATAGTCCGGAGTATTTCCGGATCTTTTATTTGTCCGGATTTTTAAATTACTTTGAATATGAATAATAAAAAAATATATTCATTTAAATAATAGTATTTAAATGAATATATATTTTTATTATTTATTTAGGAATTTTAAAAGTCCTGACATTTCGAAAAAGGTCCAGCCTTTTTAGGCACAAAATGGTACCATTACTCATTTAGTTACAACATTAGGAATGGTAACCCACCCTATCTGCGGATGACATTATTGACGTCAAGTCAATTATGATTTCAAGCTTCAAAGTGGTAGATCTTTGTGAAGATATTAAATGCTTAATAATAATTGACATATAATGTATAATAATGGCGAATTAACAAAACGCGAATTTTTAAGTACTTTCATTTTGAAAAAATATCAGTCACTTTGCTACTCATAACTGCGCCAACTTCCTGTGTAACCGATAAAAGCATTTAACAGTTTCCTTTACAATGCACGTGAAGATAAATTCATGTCGTAAAAACTGGTTATCCCTGTCACCGTAAACGGTTTTATAATTGTGAATAATAATTGGTATTTTCAACACACAGGTGTATTGTAACCGTGAACATACCTAAGTGAGAATTTTTCCATACAAATGTATTGCAAGATACAGAGCACTATTGGCTACGACCATGACCAGAGGCTGCAACAAAAAAATTAACTAAAATCGGCCGTTGCGGCCAAGCACGCGACATTCATATGGTTTCTATAGTTAATCTGGCTGTCGCGGCCACTGGCCGTGGTCGTGGCCGCCCAGTGCATGTACGGTTGCCAGATCGCCAAACATAATAGCCGGAAAGACCAGCCAGTTTGGCTACATTTAATTAAAAAGGCCGGACACCCTACATTATTGAGGATTTTGTGGGTTAGTAAGTAATATTAGGTAAGACAAAATTTTATGTAAATGCGATCGACAGTCAACTCGCTTGCGCTCGGCCACGCTTGACGCTAGCTCGTTTGCGTAATGTAAAAAAGCCTAACAAAAGCCGGACTACGATTATTTTCAGAAATCCTAAATCAATATATCTTTATTCAAATTGGATGTATAGTACACCTCTTTTGAATATTCTTGAAGTCTAATGTACCAACATTTACAAATCATTATGTTGTTACAACGTCAATACAATTATGATTTATTTTATATAGAAAACCTGTTGGAATGATTGGAACAGTTCAAACAAACCCAAGCATTTTTGTATGTAATATAATCAGATACTTTGTAATAAGCTTTTTTAATAAGTGTTTTTCTTTTTTAATCTTTAAATTTATTTTAGCTGGACGCAATCAAAAAGCCTAACCATGTCCGGCTTTATCCGGACGCCAGGATCTAAGTGCATGAGGCGCCTAAGTGTAGTTTGCCGCATCCAACACGATGGCGCAGTGGTTAGGTAGTTAAGTTTGGATACGCGGATGTTTAACAATCTTCGCAATGGCAGGTCATATAATGGGTGACTATAATGTCGGGCTTCGTCGTTCTATGGAGGCAGCACCCTTTTTGTTTTAATAAGATTTTTTTTTTCAAGATAAACGATACAACAACCTTATAAAGAACTGATGAGTACTTTCTGAGATCAACACTGAAACTCCCCAATCATAAGCAATCCATGTTTTGGGTTTGTTTATTTTATGACATATAAAAGTTATAACCCTTATAATTAAATACTATATTTATTTACTATACGCTGATGTTGCTTATGAAAAAGAATAAGAAACAAAAATTCTAAAACGCTTGTACCCTGTGCACAGAAACGGAGACAGTTGTTCATTATAAGTCGCTTGTATATTCATTTAAATTCACATTCTGTCACCGTATCTCGGTACGTTTCGATGCTAACCCTTCAGATCAAAAACGATCATCATGTCATCAGCTTAAGCGATTTATGATGCGAGTTCCCCGAAAATCGTCATTAGCTCATAAGCTACACATACGACGAAAAAATATATCTATGTGATAGAGACCTCAAAGTGTTTACTTATCATTATATTATCAATCTTGTCATACCACTGAATCTTCCCTGGAGACTCGAAGACGGTCAAAAGCTAATGACGAAGATAAATATTAATACATAACAAACGAAAAATGCCGCTGAGAATTTCCCCAAAGGCCTATTGTCTACGTAATAAATAAAAGTATCTCTCAAAGTTCAAAGGCCAACTGAAATTAATATTAAAGAGAGAGATTTAATTGCATTATGAATGAGACTACTTTAGTGCGCTCTATTGGCGGCTGTTGCCAAGGGAAGTTAATTGTTCCATTTTAAAATGCAATAATGTTGGTGTATGACCTGTCGTTGTATAAACCCAATTAATCATAAAAAAATATAACCCATTCCCATGAAGTACCAGTGTCCAAACGAAATTCTAGTCAAAGAGAAAAATAACTAGAA